CTCTTCCCTGTCATCAATACGGACTTTATCTTTCTTCCAGTAGATGGTAGGCTCAGGGTGTCCGCGGGGTGGCTGGCACTCCAAGATGGCAGGCTCTCCAGCTGCCACCACAACATCTGTAGGGTTTTGGCGGAAGTCATCCCGTAGCACTAATGCAATAAATGAGGGAAAGAAGGAAAAAAATTACTAGAAGTGATGACATTGTAGGGGGGAGTGTGTGTGTGGGGGGAATACGGGCAGATACATATGATATCAGACAGACAAAGAAATTTCAACCATTATTAGGTGATGATTTTGCATCTTTTATTTGCTATAAAAGATCTCATAAAAGAAGTTGGTGAGGCATGATCTTTTGTCCAATGGAGGTGATTTGACATACATGTTTTTTTTCCCTTGTTTTTTCTCCAGATAAGAACTCTGCTCTACCTTTAAATTAGAAATACTTGTAGCATCCATTACTCTTTTAAAACTTCATAGGGTCACTTCCTAAAGTAGCATTGCAGGTCTGATGTTGAGTTCTTTCCATAACAGAAAATAGCATGCTGAATATCTGGCTTGCCTGGATCTCCAACATCAGTATAAGCTAGGTAAAGAAGTGACACAACTGGTAACGAATTTCAGTTACACTTTAAGGATATTGTTATTATTACTATTATTATCGTTATCACCAAATACATGCCAAAGTTCTGAAAGGTGTCAGAGAAATCAAGCTGATGGTAGTGTGCTTCCAGCATGTTTTTTTCTTCCTTTTATTTTTTTAGTTTTAATATTTCTGCAACTTTGACCAGTGCTGTCCCACAGTATTGAAAGGAAAGGGCATTTAAATCACCAAGTTGTTTGAGAACTAAACTAGGCAACACAGGCCAGCTTCTTATGTAAATCAAGCTTCTATAAAGAAGGATTACGTCCAACTAGCTGGCTTCAGTGTGTTAAAATGATATTCACTTCATCGTTATTCTTCCATGTGTGTCCTAGTCTCTAGGTTAATTGACATTCTTATAAACATAAAACTGAAAATAGCTCTAGATGAGCTCTGAAATAGAATTTAGGGCATTTCCCCTCCTTGAATTTCAGCTACGTATGGCTTTCATTACAGCTTTAAAACAGTTCTCGCCCTTAATGGAACCAGGGCCCTCTGAGAAATTAGAAAACACTGTATCCTAGTGAAGGGGCAAGTCAGGAAGAGTTCAGCAGAAATTGCTCAGTCTCATTTCATAAGCAGAGATAATTTACTGCTTTCAATGTTAATAAAATGTGCCCCATTTTAACATTTGGAACGGAATATTTTTCTGTTCTGTAATAAGCCAGAAGAAAATATGATTAATACATGCAAGAATTGGCCTCTGAATGGACTGAGGTGAGTGGGCTGTATATTTGTGGCACTCAAAACGACATGAAGTAACTTTTATTGTTCCCCATTTTGGGATACACAGGTAGATCCCAGAGGAAGGAGGGAATTAATTGGAAGTTAATTCCTTTTCTAACACAAAATGGAGTGATTATTTAGGTCTTGTTCTTGAAGCATAAAATAAAAGTGACAGGACACAGTTGGCAACAAACGCAGCTCTGGCAAGAACCCGTAGTCGTCTTAGGTGACACACCCAGTTGATAGTTTTTTTTCCAACAGATAACAAAAGACTCGACTCCAAGATATTTCTGATTAATACAAATCACTCATACACTTTTGATTCACAATAACCAAATTGACAGAAATGGAATTTATAGAGCTTCAAGATAAAAGGAAGAAATAACTTATGCAATGCACAACACAGAAACACTACGCTGAAGATCATGGGCTGCTGGATATTTAGCATTACAACATTTTGCAAAGCCAAGAGAGCTAATACCACAGCAATTTCAGGGAAAGAACCAGGAAAAAAAAGTCTTACAAAATCACCTATTTTAGGAAGCATCTTCATATGTCTCTGTGATCACTATGATACATAGGAAGAAAAAAATACTTCTAGTCAAAGCTATGCCCTTTCATACAACTGGCAAATGGATAAACATTGACTTCTTTCACTATTATTGCACACAAAATAAATATTAATTTTTATTGGCTTGATTCTTAGTATAATTACAGAACTTCAGTGCAAATCCATTAGTGGAAAATCCCCAGAAAATCAGCAGATCTCACAACATAATGACTTTGTACTCCTGACTCCTACCTCCTGGCAGCTATACTAAGGAAAGTATTTCCTTGAACATTTCACACTGCTATATGAAGCTGACAAATACAGTTTCTTAGGGTGATACACAGCAAATTACATTAACTTTCTCTGAATCATCCCAGCAACTGTGTAAGGTTCCAATCAGCCTCAGAATATGAGGCTAAGAGGTGATTTGATTTTATCACATTCCTTTACCCAAGTCTTACTGCCAATCTGGCTTGAATGCAAGACAAAATTGATGCTACGGGGTTTACTTCATCTCGCTCTGTACCTCAGCACATATGTGAATCTTGAAGAGATATATCTCACTATTTCCATCTAAAGCATTCTGTGTTTTGGAGAAAACCAAAAAATGGTTGGCGAAAAATGAAATAGGGAAAAAATAAAGCAGGGACAGAAAGACAAAGATAAGAGAAAAACGTGTGGAATACAAATTAAAGAGAGAAAATAGAGAGGAAGAGAAAGAACACTGTAAGTTTAGGGAGAGTGAAAACAAAAAGCCAGGTAAAGGATGGAAAAGAGAAAGAATAAAAGCAGAGAGAAAAAACAGGTAAAGAGCAGAGGGTACGGGCTGCTATTTCTGTGATTCAGTGCTTTTAATGCAATATAATAGTGACGATCGAAAGCACAGCCATTAATCTGATCAGCACAGCCACCCCAGCACATCCAAACATCATCCCCAGAGAGAAGGAGCAGGGAAGAGGAGGGGTACGTGCGGAGGAGACCGGAGCACTAGCTGGTGCGCTCAGCTGTCCCCCTCCAGAGGCACAGAAAGCCACAGAAGAAAGGATCATCAACTGGAAGTTGAGTTCACACTTATTAGCACAGTAAATGGAAAAGTTGCAGCACAGCTTAGTGCATTCACCATATCTAATGGCACAATCGTCTGTGAAAACAGAAAAATGGTTGAGAGCAGCAAGAATATTCCTCAGCCGATTATCCACAATTGCTGGGTACTTTCAAATAAGTATTAGTGAGCCTGGGCAGATTACCCTCTGCACACACCGGCAAGAGGCTTTTTTTCACTTGAGAAGCCAGTCCTCCTCAGGGCCCTCTTGGCAGAGTACGAATACCAGCATTTTAAAAATTCAAGACAAGCGGCAAACCACTGCCATCAGACTCCTCTTCTTCATCCTCTGTTCTTTTTTCACTTTATTCCAGCTTTAATGCAAGATACGCAGCTCCTTTTGTACTTGCACGGGTGTTACCCTACATTTAACATGGGATGCCAAAGAGAAAGATCTCCGGTATCTCACCTCACCGGCCCACGCTAAGACCACGGTGCAGCTGATCTCCTCGGAGAGCAGGACCCCGGAGGGGTCAGCCCCACCAGCAGCAACGGCAATGCAGGGGGAGCCGCTCCCCTCTGCCAGCCCCACAGCAGTGCAAACACCCTCACATTTTGAGAAGCAAAGCCTCAGAAGGGCAAAAGCTTCTGACACAGCTACACCTTGCTCTCTGGAAAGGCACTGGGGGACCGGAGAGCTGGAAAGGACAGCTAAATCGTACACGCAGCCCACAACGGTGCTGTGGACAAAAGTTAATTAAGGTTTGATCGGTCTCTTTGTAGCATGCACAAGTTGATGCTGCTCAAACAAGATAGATGTCTGTGAGCTGTCACGTTGGTCTTTAAGGCATGCAAAGTCCTGTACGGCCGTTTACGGGTACCTGCAGCGCAGTCACGGAAAGCGCATCTTGCAAGAGATGCGTCGAGACAAACGCTCGCAGGCCACGCACCTGCCAGAGCGAGGGAGAAAGAAGAAAAAAGAAGTCCTTGCTACCAAGGCAACTGCTCACCAGCACCTGCCAGCTTAAGCCCAAATCCAGGCCTCGGTCGAACTGATGCTCATAAACTCAGAGAATTACATGGAAACCGAATTAATTTCCTCGATTGAGGCTCCAGTGATTTATTTAAAAGAAGCGGAGATAAAGCCGCGACGTTTATGGGGTAGGAGGGAAGGTGGTAGGGTCAAAATTATTCTAGGCTAGATATCCATGCCTTAATCCTGCTTTCCACTACAAGAGCTTTCAGGCCCTTAGAAAGAAAACATTTTTATAGGATTTACATTTACATGATGATTACAAATAACCATCTGTCTGCTTCCACTTTTTCAATCTGGTCCATGTCCCACGAGCCCCCAGCCTGTGGTCAGAGCAGCTAAGCTGGAAGTAAGAAGTGGATGCCCGTCAGGAGGCTTTGGGATAATTGCATTCTTCTCCCACCAGCGCTCAGCTCTCCACCTCCTCCCCCCGGCACGCACGGCGAACATCTGAGATTACCAGGGATGGGAGGGAAGGGGAGACGATCTTTTTTGCCTCTTTCAATGAACGATAATGTCTTAAAACACAGCTACATCTGTCGTGCTGACTAAAGGGTATAAAGAGATATCGAGTAAATATTAATGTGATTCTGTAACTTGGGTCCTGGTAGTTTATCTTCCCCCTCCTATTCTGTTTTGTGCTTATCTCAGGACAACGCTATTCTCATACAAAGATTTTACACAGCCACACCGGTGGCACACACGAGTAGGTCTCCCCTGATCCAAGGCACTGCCCCACGGGCGTTTTCCTAAATCCTCATCTCTCCACCACTGCTTTGGCGCTTCTCTCCACCGATACGTACTGATATGTACAATCAACGTGAATTATTATGTCAAATAACTGCCCAGATGTCATGCAGTGGACGGATTAAAGGATTATTATAGTTTAGGCAGTGTATGGTGCAGGGGGGTATTTTAGAGCTTGGCTAATGTGTATGATCTACTGAAATGGTCCCTGAGCAAGCTGGCACTACCTGCTGAAACGGGGTGACGCAAAAAAAACCAAGGGGTCACAGAAAATCTTCCTCATGAAGAATAATAATACAGTTTGTTTGAGGATGCTGCTGCCCTACTTCTTTGTTTCAACAATTGCCTTTGTCACATTTTTGTGAGGAAAATTAAAAAAAAAAAAAGATCACAACCTAGGCAACAGTCCTAGGGAGTTCCTGAGCTCCTTCTGCATATGTACAGCCTGGAAAAAGCTGCCATCTTTTTTTAAAAGATGATGATAAGGAACTATACATTTTTTTCCTCCTGTTCTTTTTCCCAACCTTAGCCTATTTCCTCATATGGATATTACCTAAGAGACATGAATGCTAGCTAATTTACCATGACTTAAAATGTTCAGACTTTACTTTAAAATGAGACTTCAAACCCACGAGATTCATTTTCAGAGGCGTCAGAGTATTTTCAAAGAGTTCAGTAGTTTCAACACTGTTTGATTAGTAGGGTCCCTAGAAATCAAAGTAAGGAAGAGAGTAGCAGGGAGATACCAGCATCAAGAAACAAAAGAAGGAGAATCTTCTTCCTTGCAAATTCAACAACTTTTTTTGGCTTCATCTCTTTTTCTCATTCAGTATTTCATGTGCTTCTGAACTCAGTAACCTACTCAGTACTTACAGTGAAAGGTAGCTTGCTCTTTATTCTCAGGCCTCAGCAAAGACCAAAATATGGGAAAACACTCCACTCTGACACATCCTCCAAAATTTCTAACAGCTCATACATACAGATATAGACATTTATAGAATTTGGACTTTGTGATGAACATTAATGTTTAAATGTGAAAGTGGAGACCCTTGCTTCTAAACAGAGAATCTATTAAACCAAGTGAACACAAAATTACAGTGTTAGAAATCAGGCACATGAACCAACACTGACAAGTAAGTAGACAGATTCCAAATGGAGTCAGTGGGAGAGACCAGTTTTCTTCTCTCCTCTAAATTTCGTTCAGCGGTGTACCCCAACCAGTTGATTGCACAACAGTCATGAAAGAAGATAGGTTTTTCCTTTCTTATTTGCAGCACACACTGCAAGAGCCAGACTTTGAAATCTTTCTTCAACTGTTAACCCAATTAAGGGCACTGCCGATTTATTTTCCCTTTTACACAATTACACAGGTATACAAGTGATAGTTATTGCAGACATTAGCTTATGAGTTGTTTCTGATTTTTAAAGCCTGCTATTTGTGCTGAATTAAGTGTATGCAATACAGTCTGAATACGTCTACTGAAAAATTGTATAATGTCCTTGCCTTTCTTGTGACTCATTGTGCTTACTTGAATGCAATCTGACATCTCCATAGTTTTCTCTAAAAGATTTTATTTGACTACTAGATAGCATGAAGAGTGGAGATTTTTCTAATCTGGAATGTAACATATTTATGTTTAAGCTTCCTGATTGAAAATAAAGTTCTATCACCTGTCTCCATTGCAATGAAGCCCCAATAACCTTCTCTCCTTTTTAAACTCTCACCTCCTTCCACCAACAAATTCTGAATGCTGCATTAACAGTCAGCAATCTCATTATCCATCTGCCATAAATCTTCAAAGCATCACTGTGTTGTGACAGTCAAGAAAGGCAAAGGGAAGCAATAAGCATAACCAAGTATTCTTTATGGATGCAAATATCCTGAAGACCACATTTAAGTAATTTCAGAAATCTAAAGCTATACAACGTAATATGTTGAAACATTTTCTCTAGGATACAGAGCAGATTTCTTTTTTCTTATTCTTAAAGCATCATCACTCTTGATGAATGCTCTGCATACATTGCTAATGTTAACAAGAGATACGTTACCAAGAGTTTTATTTCATTGAAACTAGAAAACCTATTACTTGCTTTAAAGTTCACAGACTTTCTAGAAGAACTGGTACCACAATTGCAGACCAGGAACTTTGAAAAACCTGCATGATATGTTGCAAGACTTAAGATTTAACAAGGATCAGACATTTACCAGTTTACTAGAATAGTTATTTAATGATCCTTGAAACTCAAGTCTGATGTTAGCTTTTATGTGCTCTTCACGTTTAATGGACTACATATTCATGGGCAAGCATTTTTTTTTTCCCAACTAATGTGAATATCAGATGTGGAACCAAGAACAGCTTCAAAAAACACCACATTGCAACTGAAGTAGTGTACTTTCACTGTCACTTGTATGACAGCATGTCTTCTTTGCAGTAAGAATATGGGACTAGTTTCACCAAAAGTACTAGAGGACTTTTCAAATCACATCAAACTATGCTTCTCTCACAGCAATGCAGTAGGGAGGACTGTGTTTGGTAAAAGACGCAACCCTCTAGAAGCCCTCGTAAGCTACTGTCAGAAAAAGGATAGACTGGACTAGACAGACATTTGCTGTCCCACAGAAAAGCCATTCCTAGGCTCTAAAAATCAAAATTTAAAAAAAAAAACCAACCAAAAACAAAACAACAAACCCACAAAAAAAAACAAACAACACCACAACAACCTCCCCAAAATTAAAGGCATTAAAAATACATAACCAATTTTCAAAAGCAATGGTATCCAAAAAAAAACCCAAACGTTACCATCAGAGATATATGAACCAAATCCAGCTGGGAGCTTTTCACTGAATGCTTCAGAAGAGCGCACAGAAACTGCACTGTACAGAGTCCAGCACAGAGATTCTCCAGAAAGTGCAGATTTAATTAGTAAGCTCAGAAACCACAGTAGAAGAGCACACAGGTTTACTGCCGCGAGTGCAAAAGTAGCGCTGCCAGGTACCTACAGCACTATGCTCACCCTAACGAATGCTACCTAGAGTTTGACACAGCACTGAGCAATTGTATGTTTTCTGCTTCCAGACTGAAGCTGGTTCTCCTGCAACCACTTTAACTGCTTCAGTCCCCTGGGCTCACAGTTCAAGCCCAGCCAAAACACCTAAAACCTACATGTGCCCTTAGTAAAACAAAGGAATAAGAACAGATGAGTATTATGAAAACGAATACAAATGAATGAATATTTCTTGTATGAGAAATATAGAATGTTATACGCTTCATTTAACCAATATAATACAGACTGCAATCTCCGAGCTCCACTGAAGTGTGAATAGCCTCTAATAAACTTCTTGTGTACACATGCACAACACATACACAACAGCTGGGATGCTTTCCCATCTTGGCAGGAGGTCACTGCCACATTACTGCTATACTTTAGCCACATTAAGCAAGGCATCAAACAAAACAGGCTGTTGCCCAACATAGGAATTTTCCTCCTTCAATCCCCACCTCCTCCCCTAACCCTGGTCTCTATCAAGCTTTATCTGTTAATTATAAGCTAAAAATCATCTATTCAGTTTTTGTGAGCAGGATTGTTTCTCGTCAGGGCTTTTGTGTTGTTCCCCTCAGAAGTCAGGATGGAAAATGAGGTATTTGAGCAGATATAGCAAGGCACATATTTCTCAATAAGCTTTCAAAACTCCATTGCAAGGGGACTGTGCAGTCACGCTTCATCAGATATGGAGCATGAGATGCATCCGCAGCTGGTGCGCAGAACCAGTGGGAGCCGTCTGCTGCTTCTTGAATACCTCACTTCCCATCCCACAAACTGTCCTCATGCCATTTTGGGGTGCTTGCCAGATGCCATTTAAACAGGTCTGTTCTATAGGTCTGGCCGGCCTCATGTCCTCTGTCCCATAAACAGGCATGTCATTGCATACAGGCTCAGCAGTGGCATTTCCTGCAGGACCTGACCTGAGTGTGCCTTATTTAATTCTTAATCTTCTGAAGGACTCAAATCTTTTCACTTTTTTTAGAATTTGTCCCAGGAAATAGAGCCTGGAAACTGGAAATGCATAAAACGTGTTTGCATGGCTGTCATTGAGACATGTCCCATCATTTGAAGCTAGTGGAAAACACAAGCTGTGTGAAGGCAGAACTGTGTATACAGGGAGTGGGACAGCAGAAGGCTACAAGTCACCAGTATGTGTGCTCACTGCTCTGGTTATATTTGGCATCCCCTCGTCAAGAATTTACAGCAATTCCCCAAAAAAAATATTCTCTACCACTTATGATTGCATATTATTTTATTTCAATATTGTTTTAAAACTCTAGAATAAATTTAAACAGCAAGGATGCATGGTCCAAAGTTGTTGTTCTTTAAAACTCCAATTCCACCTTCTCTGAGGACAAGAAGAGTATTGTTTTCCTCCAGTGTTCAAGTGTTGTGTTTTTTTTTTTTCAAGTTTCACCAGTGAATTCTTCCTTCATAAAAGGTTCCATTCAGATTTAACCATTTATCAAAAATTTACATGACATTTTTTCTGGATTATCTCAAACAACGCAAA